TACATGAAGAACGGTGCATTGTGGCAGTCTCGTTCGCAGATGACCATTTACGGTTTGAAATTTTACGGTAGTCTGTCGGTAAAAGCCAAAATATACACAGATCAAACCATTTTACACACTTTTATAAGTTATAAAGTCATAAACTTAAATCCTGATGGCAACCCCCCAGTGATGAAAGTATCCACATGTTACTTAATATGGTCAGACCTTTTTTTCCAATGGGCCAATCTGGCAAAGATTTCAAGTAATCCTCACCCCACTTTTGAAAGACCAGTATCCCCGAGACGCCCATACGACCTTGAAATGACCTGGCAGCAAAAACATCCACCTCGCTGCTCAGAGTTATTTTGGGGGCGTGGCTACAAATGTACTTCCACAGCAGCATAATGAAAATTGTTAGAGGGAACCCGAGTAATGTAATTGGCTAGCATAAAACAGTCGCACAGGTTCAGGCATGCATGACCCCTGGAACTTCCGGAAAATGATGTCATGATGATTTTCTCCTCGTGGAGAAAAGGTCCCTCTTTTTTGGCGTTGCGGCTCCGAGGGCTTTAGAATCTACGTTTTACGAAAGATTCTAATATTTATCTAACATTGCTGACAACACCTGCGTGACGTCAACTCAACGGAATCTGGAACCCATCGACAGCAGGCAGTAAATCCTTGCAACGTTGTACAATCTCGTTTTCACGAAAGCACGGAGAGTGAAAACAAACGAGCATGAACAAGGAGACCTAGGAACGATATCGCCGGACGTGAGAGGTAGTTAATAAAATTAATTTTTTACCCATCTCTGGGTGACTTTTCCTAAATATTAGTTGAGAAAGACAAAGGTAAAATTCCAACATGAGTGTTTCATGGGGTGGTTTCAGTTAGAAATTATTCTTCCAAAAAATTATCGAACGTGATAGGACGGCCCAATGTAAAATCCCCATAGGCAGACCGCGCGAGGGTTTCGGAAGCTGGCTGCGTGACCTTTTTAATACTTCTAGGCATTATTACTCGCACTCTCTCGAGCATCCTGCCATACAATGGGAAAAGCCATGTAAAAAGCTGCGTTAAACTGCAACCCCGAAAGAAATTCTCACAACTGGTACAGTGCCAGTCACGTCGAAATCTCTCTTTAATATGCCCTTTATGAAACCATCAAACTTAGCCAACGTTTATAGTTCAATTTGTTCAGTCAATGACGAAATGTTCTAGCTTACGAAAAACTCTGACCTTTTCATAAAGTTTGCCAGGAGGAACCTCGTAATTGTACGAAATGGATAATAATCACACATAATGTCATAATGAAGCTATTCAAAGGTATTCCTGTTTTACTCAGCCGGCTGGCATAAAATGTGGCCATTAACAGTGTAAGAGCCCGCGTCTGAAAAATTCGTTAACAAAACACTTTAAGATTTCAAGTGAGATGAAGCCAAATATACGAAACAAATCTTTTATGTTCGATGTATGTGTGACGTCTTGATATACTTGTAAGTACTTTTTTATTCCCATGATATCAATTTTACAGCTTTTCTGAACAATTTTTTTTGGTACAACCAATCATCCATTCAATTTTCCAGTAATTAGGCTCATTAACATTCCAAAGAAAATATGTGAGTGAAACATAAGCTGTGATTGAATGTCTTAATAACACATACATAAATATATAATATCACAATACAATGAGTAAACAAACATTTCAACTTTGGCAATGTTCCGGCAATGGCGTATAATGAAAACTGGAAAAAAAAATAACCCAAAAGAATATACATTGAATTAATATTGAAATCTGAATGAATTAAGTAATATGTAGATATCTCGAGTTGAAATGGATATACAGTAGATGAAAAATTATTTTAAACAACGATAAAAAGTAAATACAAGGGATCTCAAAGAACCACCGACAGAATTTAAAACTTACTTATTATCTATGGCTTTGCAGTAACAAAATGCCTTTAATAAATATCACAATCTTATAATAAGGCGGGCTTTAGCACTAATAGTATAAAACCAAAACTGACACTTACTGCATTGTTTGAAAGTAACCAATGGAAACAAACGACCTCAACCAAGAGAAATACACCATAATTCTTGCTTAAAATGCAACACACCTTACAAACACAGTTAGGTAGCATGACATTTAAAGCAGACAGGTCAGGGCAACAACCTGATACCCGCCCCTCCACACCCACAGCCCTGCACACCACTTGTCACACCACTTTGCAGTTTGTAATCCCAGAGCAACTGACTGGAATTTCACCTTCAGTTCCTGTCTATTCCTTGTACAATATTTGTTTCTACATGGCACAGTCCTTATAGATTTGGTTTCTGCCGCCAGTATCTATGACATGGGTAATATGGGTACTGCTGACATGGATATTGGTGACATGGGTACTTTAGACACAAGTACCCATGACATGGGTACCTTTGACACCAGGTACCCATTACATTGGGATCTATAACATAAGTAACCCATTACACGAGTACCCATTACACGGTCCCCATAAGAGCAGTTTCTTGTACCATAGAGAAAGGACACAGTCCCCTTCTTTATGGTTGTACGCACAGAAACTTCAAAGCCAGTTGCTGGGTGTGGCCTTTTATACTCCAAAATTGATCTTACTCATTATTAAAGATACAACAGCTAAAAGGACAGCAATGGAGAAATGTATAAAAAAGACACAAACACTTATACCCTGTGTGTTAATGCTTCCAATACTGATTGCACATGTACACCGGAAAAATGCTTAATACTACACGGCACCAGTACACTTGTTACCTTAAACACTGTGGCTTTGATGGGAACTCGTATACCCAACACTCAACTGAAAATGGGACCTAGTTCCAATCTGGGGAGTCCTAGGCCATCTGAAAGGCCACTTTGGAAGCCTGAAACTGGCTTGCGAAGCTGGGACTGTGGCTACTCTCTGCATATTGCCAATGGATGAAGATCTAGCCCAAGCCCTAGAAAATAGGTTTGGAAGTCCTGTGGTCTTCCATCAAAGCTGTCTGCAAATAGGCTTTATTCATGAGTTGGCCACATAGAAAAGGTGAAATGAAAGTTTATTACAAATTGATGTCAGTTTACTTTCTGCTGATAAATAATTAAAAATTTGTGATTAATTATATCTAAATATTTCAAGCAATATTTACCAAAAAAAATGAAAGTGGGGCACAGAATCCAAGATACTCTGGCTCCACTCCATTCAAAAGATTACTTGGAATAAGACAGATTCAGGGAACACAATCAAACATGGCCTCCCCTTGAATAAGGTTATTCAAAAAATGTGATAAAATCCACTCTTGTGGATTATTCTAATTCAGAGAACAGGAAGCTTCTCAGGCTATGCAGCAAGGGAGGTTTACTGGGGAATTGTGTAATGTCAGAAGCTTTATATCTTGCTCCTACAATTTTAATGGGATCCAATCAAAAGTTGTCAAAGTACCATGTGACTGCACAGTTTCCCCAATAAGAAACAATAAGAAAAAAAAAACAATAGCGGATGCAACTTGGGTCATGAGGGCCCATTTGAGCACAACTCAGTGATCACAGTTACACAGTTACAGCAGTGGGTACCCAGTTCCAATCAAACCCGTGAAAGCACACTCTTAACACAATATCTCAACCTCTACAGAGCCCCACCTGAAGATATTACACATTGCCAACACAAGTCATGCCAGACATTTGCAAGCCAATAAGCCCAAAAAAGTACAATTTTCCAACAGCATCTCCTGTGATATATATGTAAATGCATAAAATTACTGAGTTTAATAATGTACAGAGTTGGAACATTTCTGTGTGCGGTACAAACATCTAAAAAGAATCATGTTATCCATGCTCTTACATTTAATCTGTGGAAAATATGAGAATGGATTTTGGGGCAAAAATTTGTTTAGGAAAAATCACTTTTCAAATGGACTTTGGGAAAATGCATGGTTCAAAATACAGGAATCTATGGTAATAATGTCTATCAAAACTATGCAGAGTGAAGAATAAATACAAAAATGTCTGGGAATGCTCAAACCATTTTACGTCACTCAATCACCAAGTCTGACGCCAAGGAATGCTTCCTACAAAAGTTAAACGAGTTTCCGACATGAAATGGGATTTGGTTAACGGGTTAAATTCAATCACTTTAATCCAGTTTAAAAAATAGACAAGGTGTAATAAGTGCATTGGCTTAAACCTTAAACTGGATTAAAGTAGTTACTATTTGTCAACCATTGGTAAGGGAAGACAATCAGGAAGACTGGGAAGGATGGAAAATACATGTATTTGGCAGTTTGGAACATGTGACTCATCACACTTTAAAGATAGGCAGCATATAGGCAGCACTACAAGTTGTTTGAAGATGGCTTATGTATCAATATTGTGTGACAAAATAGAAAACAGTGTGAGCTTCCTTCTTTTGCCCTTTTGACGGCATTGTATTTGAGTATAATGTATAAAGTGACAGCCATATCGCAACTCTTTAAAGATTTTCCGATGCTGTTTCAAAAATATTGATACTTATGCCACAAAACTTTCTATGACATACTTTATGTTGAAGTTGACTGAAACAAACCCTGTCTTGTACTTACATGCATACATTTGCACAAAAAGTAAAGAAACATATTCTGAAAAAAGACAGCAAATCTCAGTACAAGACCATCTTAATGCACATGGTTTTGACGTAGTTACCTTGAATATCTATTGTTTACCTTTGACCTTATGAATATTCATCAGGTGATGGGAACGTGTACCACACATGCACCAGCTCTACCAGTGTTCAATGGCGACACCTGTGGAAAGGATCAAACGTAAAGATTAGCGTAGGTAGGCCTGTAATGTATGGAACAAATAAGTACAGTACCGACTCATTCCCCATGCCTTGAGCATTTCAAAACCTGTTCTTCACGTGCATCAACATGGATGCTGTAACTGATTGAGATCAGAAAGTGATTTCCATTTTGATGTAAAATTCAACATCCGCTTTGATGTCAAAACTGATAGGTAAATTCTGTGCCATCCGTTTCTGACTGTGGAAGGAGTAACAACTTTGTAGAACATGCCTACTGATCACATAAACACATGTCTGCATGGTTATTCACAAGTGTAACATAGGTTGTGGGCGTTAGAACACTTGCAGAGATTTATAACTGTATAACTGCATTCTGTGTCATATTTTGTAGATTTTAAACCATCTTGAAGTTTGAAATCACGAGCATGTATTTCACAACCCAAAACAGCCAAAAGAAACACATGCACAAGACGGGACTTACAAAGCTCCATTCCCCGGACATTGGGTCATAGCACTCTACAGAGTTGAGATACGTCTGGCCATCATAACCCCCCACGGCAAAGATGCGGTTGCCAAGCACTGCCACGCCCACTGCATCCCGACACAGGCTCATCGGGGCCAGGGTGCACCACAGATCTGAACGAGGGTCGTACCTGTCGAGGGAGAACACGAACATCACGGATTTCATGTCTTGATGAAAAAGAGTGTAATAATTTAACAGGGAAGCAGATTGCTTACCCAGAATCAAAGTGTAGCAAGTCTGCAGTGCCAAGCTTTTGAATTTTAAGAGCTGCGCATTTTTCTGTGGTTACAATTAAGCTCCATATTGAAATGAGAACATCCATTTGACAAGCCCAAAACAAAACAAGCAGCCGCGCAAGTGATGCTGTTTAAATGTACAAGTGCATACACGTTGGTATGTGTAACAACTGCCACTTTGACAGAGCGAATAGCGCCCTCTTTGGCTGGAACATTTTTATTTTCCTTTCCTTTAATGGAAATCAGAACGTTCTGATTTTCTGGGTCTGAAAACTTCAAATTCAGTACAGTTCCAATTACTGTAGGCAGGTATGGGAATGTGCACTCATGTAAGCCAATGTGCCTATCAAACCAGGGATATGGTTTGCATTCTTTTGTTTTCTCAGAATATAATTTTCTGTAGTCGTACAAGCAAAAACGGTAATCACTATGTTCCTCACTTGGTTTTAATGGCCCCTTTGAAAATCGCAGTTTACAACTTAGGTATCACACATGAGCTGACTTTGTATGAGAACCACAATCTTGTTATTTGGTGTAATAAACTATGGATCAAGTCAGTGAGTGGGTTCCTGTCCAGTGAGCTGTTTCTCCTTAACTGAGAGCAAATTTGTACATGGGCACGCAAATGAGGTAGTTATATTCAAACAAGCCATTGGCATTACACTGACAGCAATGAGTGAGCTGTACACTCTAAAGGGAGCTGAAAAAGTCAAAGGACTGTTTTACACTTTACATGCTCGCTGAGCAGAGGTAGTTAAATACTCAAGACACCCTGAGTGCCAATATTGTAGGTACAGCCAGTGAGTGACACTATTCTGTGGAATTTTTCTGCCGAACTGTACAAACCTCTCCACGCAATCAAACTGCCTTGATGACTGCTGGCTAGGCGTGTCATGCCCACCGATGGCATACAGGCAACCATTGCTCACAGCCACTCCAAGCCCCCCTCGTCTCTTGCTCATTGGAGAACACATGGTCCAGCGGTTGATGTGAGGGTCATACACCTCCACTGTTCGTAGACATGCACTTCCATCCCGTCCGCCGATGGCATAAAGTCTGATATTCAAAAAATTTGCAGTAAGGTCGAAAAACAGGCCGGAGAAATTCCATCTTTAGTTACAATTTGCTCGGAAACTTGCTGACTCCTCAAAAATCTAAGGCCGAGTCCGAATCACTTTTATGCACACAACTTTATGGAAACTGGCTGTGACCACAACCACTGACTCGTGTGTAATTTCTAGCCGCAGCCAAGTAATTTGAACACAGCGTGACACTGTGTAAGAATTCACTGGCACATCCTTAATGCTTCAACTTCCATGTGGCATCGATCCAGAAACAAGATTGCCTTCAAAAGTTAGTTCCAAGAAAAGTCATGCAGGTTGGTTTCATACAAAGAAGGCATCAACCTCAAATGTACCATAATTTTTGAAACACTGAGACAGGAATTTCAAGAAAACACTGTGCCAAAAGAAAATCTGTGCTTTTGCCTGATAACTCAGATTTCACCAACTTTTCTCAAGATCTTCTGACAATAAGATACTGCCAGTGGTCTTGTTGAAACTGGTAGGCATGGGTGAAAGATGTTCAGAGAAAAGGGACTCACTGGCCATGCTTTGTGGCAGTGCATTAGTCAACCGCCTAGGGACGCGCTTGAAACTACTTAGTATGACAAAAAGATTTTCAGCGAGGAAGGGCAACTGGTAGGGAAAATAAAACAATGTGTGTTGATGCCACATGGGTCTAATATTGCCAAACTCACTTGCTATCGAGCACAGCTACTCCTACGGTGCTGCGAGGGGACGACATGGATGCCACATAGCTCCACTGCTTGCTCTGTGGATCATATCTCTCAACAGAGGACAGGTAGCTCCAACCATCATGCCCTCCCACAGCATACATAGGACCCTCCAACATACCGACACCTGTTAGTTGGCAATGACATCATTTTAGAACCATTTTCATGTCATTTTACTGGGGAAATGATTTTGTTTCTGCATTTTTAACGGAGTACTGAGTTTTCAGACAAGGCTGGAGAAAAAGCTCGGAAATTCTAAGATCTGATTTCGGGTTTTCAATTGTCAAAGGCATTGAAAGGAGTAAACAAATTTCCTGTGCTGATACAAGGAAAAGTTCCCAACACCAAACTCATTTTTATTAGGGAAGAGTTGTAAAAATAGAGTTCAGAGTTTCAAATTTATCACTCTAATCTCATTTGTGTGTTGCAAACAAAATTCTAAATATTGCCAATAACTTACAATCTACAAAATACCGAAAGATGGCTGAAAATGTGTACCACTTGTACAATACAATAACTAGCATACCACACTCACACGAGTGAAAAACATCCCCACACTGCATGTGATATTAATCTATCAATTCTTATTCAACATTCATGTTTGGGTTAATGTGTTTTTTCATTACTTACCCAGTCCGTGTCGATGTGTTCCCATGGGAGTCAGCATACTCCAGGACTTCCCAGCTGGATTGTAACACTCCACAGTGTTCAGGGTCTTCAGTCCGTCTCTTCCTCCGACTACAAAGAGCTTATCATGACAGACGGCCACTCCAAACTGCAGCCTGCGGCCGCTCATGTTGCCGATGTGAGTCCAGGTGTTGGTGCGTAGGTCGTATTTCTCGATGCTTGTGGCTCCTGAAAGATAAAGGCATGGATCGTGCGATCAACATTCAAAAATGCAAAAAGGGCTTTCTCTCACCAATGAACCCTCGTACTTTTGGTGATGTTGTCTAGATGTAGGCTGTCAAAGCCTGCCAAATGGAGTATTTGATGCAGAATAGCATAAGAGCAGCGGAGCTGTCTGGAAATGAAAGGTTTTTAGAATTCCAACAACAAGAGGGTTAAATGGCATTTCTGCACAAAAAGGTGAACAGAACTTTGTCTTTGTTCTGGGGGATGGCACTCAAAAGTCGTTCATCGTTCATCTTAAGATGTGATGTAGCCACAAATGATGCAATCAATGACAACTCAACTTTGGAAGCAGAAGTATGGATGATGTGATCACTCAGAGAGAATACCTCCAGCAGCACTCTCTTTAGTGGGCCACTGTCTTGCATGCATTTATCGAGGTGCTTCAAAGGAGACGCAAGGATTACAAGACACGGTAACAGGTGCAGTGTAGGTACCTCAGAGATTGTGTCTGACCTGTGTCTGAGTCCCTGAAGACAAAGCGGCAATCACAGCACAAATGCAAAGGTATCCGGGCCCTGCCAACCGGCATGCAATTTTTTTTTCAATTCTAAACACCATGACTGAAAGGCCCGGGATAACTGCCCTTGTTTCACATACACGTACCTTTAGTGCTGTCCATTCCTCCCACGGCATACAACGTCCCGACGGTTGATTTGCGTGGCCTTGTGCGTGCGCTTTGCATGAGAGGGCGCCGTTCCGGTAGCAGGTGGTACTTCATGGCCTCAAAGATGAGACGTTGGCACTCCTCTTCACCGTGGAAGAGGGGGTTGTCAATGATGTCACTGAGGAACTGCCAGACAAAAGCATGAATGTGATGCAGTTGGCATTTCTTCAATACAATATTATTTGCAATTTGGATGCAGTCCAAGTTGTACCAAAGGTTATGTTTTCTTACATTTGTGATTGAGAATTTTTATCTTTTAATTTTTCTTTTAAAAAATGTAAAAAGGAACACAGAGAGAACAGTGTTCTGCCAAGTATACAGTATTTAAAATGAGCTTGTACCACAAAAAATGAAAAGTTTTGGAGATATAACATTATTTTGACTAAGAAGCAGTTTCTACTCAGGAAAACTTTGTCTTTACATCAACTAGCAGCATCAAACGTTTTACTATGATCTTAATAAAAGTTTTCAATGTTTATTCAAAAGCTTCTTAAAACTTAAGACTTGCCAAACAAGATACCAAACAAGTGAACTGTTCTCAACTGGAATAGTCCAGAAGAGCAAAGAGTGCTGACAACTCATACAAACTGACATTCAACCTCTACACACACATGTCCATTGGGGTATCGTTCACAAACTTCACCATGTCTGCAAAAGTGAAATGTACCCAATATGCATGTGATGACCTTGAGGGCCATTCGTCTGTAAGCCCACGTGCTCATTATAATGGATAGTGGACTACACAACTAGTTTCAAAAAGGCACATGCTGCTTTCAGAAAAAAAGGGCTTTTTAAACAAAGGATCAGAACAATTTTCAAGTTCTTGCAATCATTCTTACCTGAGGGGAGAGTAGTGGTAGTCGTATGTGAGCCATGATGTTGGCGATGTACCTCTTTCGCTCGGACAGGTTGTGATTTGCCCAGGACAGCAGGGCATAGTAGACAATCTCTTCATTGGGGACGTTGAGGTCGTCACTAGCGAAGAGCTCGCAGACGTCGTTGGCATTCATCATCAGAAATTCCTGGTTCACTGTCACCTCGCAGAAGTTCTCCTGATTGGTTCCAGATAAAGGTCAAGCTCAGGGTCAGCTCAACAAAGTGTTTGTTTGAAAGTGGAGTAACCGTCAAAGACAAGAAAAATGTCTGCCATGTAAGCAAACCAGTCAATCCCTCCCAAAACAATAATCCTCCACACTTCCTATCAACAAAGGGCTATAATTTTTTTGCAAAGACACAGAATGAGAAATTTTACAAAAGACTGTAAAATTTACTTCGATATGTCAAGTTTAGAGGTATGAACACCCAAAGTTTGAAGGGACCTAGATACTTCTCAGGCGAGATGTACGGATGACAATCAATATTCAAACTGAAAAGTAATAATGAATATGCATTGTCAATAATGTCAAATACCATTGTGTAGTTGTGTGCGACCCTGTGGAGATCAGGGCAGCTCTGTGAGTCAGCAAAGGAGCGTATTCCAAGACAGTTAGAGGGATGAAGTTGCTTGACTAGATACCCACAGCAGGCCTCCGTCACCTCAGACAACTGAAGGATGCAACCCGTGGCCAGTAGATGCTCAACATTATCCTCCTTGAGAAGAATTTCTCCTACCAGGAAACAGAAGTTAAATTTCCATTCATGGCAAGTCACATACACACATACTTATAGCACTTTGAGAACATTGCGTATTTCTGTATTTCTTCTAGAAAAATAAACCTTCCATTATTATTGAAGTTTTTGTTAATTGGTTTCTTCAGACAAGCAAGTATTTTCCATTTCATTCAGAGGTAATGCTCTGTTTCAGGTTGGCATATCATGTTAGCATTTTGTTTTGGTAAAGCCGTCAAACTCTTTTTCCTGTTCCCTCAAAATGAATTTGTCAGAGCTAATGACGAAATACAGTAGAGCAATTAATTCACAGCCACCTGTATAGATGTACTGAATGCAAGCCTTCAGTGCCTGAGGGTCTAGGTCCCTCAGTTCAACCTCCCCCGCTGTTGCCTCTACTACATCATTCGTGAACATGGCGGCAAAGTAGTCGGACACAGCACACAAGACCAGCCTGTGTGCCGGGATGCGCACGTCTCCCGCCTTCAAGACCACATCCGTCAGCTGTTTGCGCTGCAGGTACACTTGCATCTTGTTGAAGGTCCGCTCGGCATGGTTGAGGGAGCAGAACTTCTCACCGTCTGAGGATATAGGATCGTCCATGATGGCCACAGGCGGGCGGGATGGCGCGGCACTCATTGGGAGGATGGCACTGCAGGATGCATTGCTCTGATCTGAAATTAAACGGAAACCCCCAAACCATTAACGCTAATTATTTATAAGAGCTTAGTCAGTATGTTTTGTTAATTTAGAATTGTTGATGCTGAGTGACATAAAGAGGTTTCCACGTGACGTAACATGACCGCCAAAGGCATTTCAGGATGCAAACCATGTCCATGGTGGCGAGTTTTCTAATCTGTGTCTTTCTATTGGCAGTGTCATGTATGACAGAATGTTGAGAAACTTCGAAGAGGCACTCGTTTCTAGGCATATCCGTGTACATTTAACGCTGAAAATCCCTTTAGGATATGTGCCAAAATATCTTTGACTCAACACTATCAGTTTTGTGCCGTCAATGAATTGCAGATTCATCATTCATTGGTGCATATACATGTACGTTTCTTTTCAGTTTAGGGGGATGCAAAGGTGGAGAAATTTGAATAAACTGGTTTAGAGCAGGTATCCACCCTTAACAGATATAAATATCAAAACATCCTGGCTTCAAAGTTGGTTCAACACACAGCTTGGGGTGGGGGTAACATTAGTCACTATTCTGTGTCTGGGCTTTGTTGTTGTAGTGACTGAACGGCATGCATAAAACACGTGTTGTGCCATTCATGCCATAAATATCAATCGTACAGTTTCAGTTACTAGATATCATCCAGAATATATTCACACTGTTGATTACGACAATGGATGGCACAACTACCGATCGTAATGTACACGTATGACTGTGCAGGTGAATAGAATCTTGGGTATAGACCACAAAAGGGGAGGGAAGCATGGAGACAGGTAAGAGCGGGGAAGAGGACCATGCTAGTGGTCCTCCAGACACAACATGTCAAAGTGTCCTGCAAGGTGGGACCGTAAACCCAAGTAGTTTGAGGCTTTCTGATTTGTGGCTGTGGAGGATTTCTTTGAAACAGGGAAGTTAGAGATTTCATACACGATCGACAGATAGTAGTTAGTACAATGCAATTATGTGTTTGTGCACATCGACTGATCGCACCCAATACTGATAGTTGTGAGCATACCTGATATTTATAATGTAGGAGTAACTCTTGTTCCTGCTCAACCCTAGGCAAGATCAAGGAGTTCAGGAGGAGTCATATGTGTTTCTGGAGAATCAAAGTAATTGTTTTCAAGTGTTTATCTTTGGTTTGTATTTTTTAGACATGTTCTATGTTGTTTGTCATGTTTGTGGATGGCGGAACTACCCACCCCTTCCCGAGATGGAAAATATCTGCTGACGGTAAGTATGATGCCTACATTTAGATACTAACGGCGTAACGCTCCAGCTCCACACAGAGAGCTCATTATAATTATGTCATGACACTTGTTTTTCAGGTATTTTTGTTTGCAGCTGCTCACTAAATCGCCGGTTACCCACACGGTGAACAGAAATCTGACAAAATGAGTGCACACACACCGCTTCTATACCATTTATAGTAGTATATTACGCCCTAATTTAAAAAGAAAAGGCATGCTTACGTCGATTTTCTTCAGTTTTTATTGTCAGCTGGAGTAGTGGGGAGGGATCGGGAAATAACTAACCGATCGTGATCGTGGGCTGTGTCTGACGGCCTCTCACGACTTGGTATTAGCCACTACTTTCGCGTAGTCTGGGTTTCAGACATGCCAGCTATTTTGACAAGATGCCCCTTTTAAAACAACGGCATTGCTTGCAGTTCGGTTTTAACTCAACTTCAAGATCAAGCTCATGACCATGATATCGATGCTACTGACTCGGAGACTCCATTTCCACATTTATGTCGATTCCAGACCTGTTCAACTATCAAGCCATGTCTAATAACCGCCAAAGTTCCGAGTCTATCTGCCTTGATATGAAGCAATAGTTTTACAAATAGTCCCCTGCTTTAAGTGTTGAGGAACGGTTCTTGAACCGAAAATAATATTAACAGAGGTGACCACTGCATACAACCGGCCAGTCGGGGCGGCGCGTTACGTGCACGTACAGCCTTTGTGTGCAACCACGTATTCTGTCCGAGGCTGGAGTGTACTCCGATAGCTCCATGCTCTAGCGCCATCCAACTGTAAAAGTAAAACCAACTGCTACTAAATTTTGTGAGTCTGCCGCCTATAAATTTAGTATGAGATATATTGTGTGCAGCCCCTCCTGAATAACGTATGGAAATTATTTAGTTCATTTTGTTGAAACGTGCACTGTATAAGATTTACAAATTTTAATGCTTTCCCATTGTTGGCGCGTTGCTGTTATGCGCCTTCAGGAATTTGAAGACAATTGTTCATGGGAGTGTGTGTGTGGTGGTGGTGGTGTGTGTGTGGGGGGGGGGGTGAATCAAAACTCTGTTCATTGACAATATGCATCAAACCAACAAATCACCAAAAATCACATCAGCACAAAAAAAAATTGAAAAAGTATCCCCAAACCCTACAATTTCGAAAGAACATTGAAAAAAAAAGTTTATATGGGACACAATGCTGCATTTACAAGCACTGCTTTGTAAAAAAAAATGCGTTGCACGTTGCGTATATATCTCCCGTCTTTGGGGGGTGGTTAGGGGGCGTATTTACGAGGGGGGCACGGAGGCATGTGCCCCCCCCCAGCGGATGCCTGTGCCCCCCGTGAATAATCTCTGTTGAGTTATAGCTGTGTAGATGGAGCTTATTTTCTTGTGGCGCCCTAGAACAAATGTGTGCACCCAGGGGTGCCCCACATCCCCCCACAATTACCCATCCCCCAATCCCCCCCCCATTTCTGGCACAAATTTACACCACTGGTAGCATAGCGGTCAAAATACTGCAGCACCTGTATGTTTGCAGCTTCATTTGCGTTTCACTGGCTCTGCTAATGACATAAACATGATGTACACTATTACTTATCGTAAATCAATGTCTGGGGTGGATATGTGGATATTAATCAATTATATTTGTGCTAATGGCACGTCTTAGAGTCACAGAAGGGTCTTATGATAAAAGAACGCGTTTGATAATAATTTATTTTGAAATATTCTTTTGTGCTTGCTACTTGGTACCTCGTAGGGCCTACGTGGTAGTTGTCCTCTTGAATACTCCAGTTGATAGTCTCACTAAAAGGCCTGGGAGAGTGGTTTAATTTGAATTGTATTTCATTAAATCTGTGGTGGTTAAAGACATCAATAGTATTCTAAGGGAGCCTGTTCCATTTTCGAACAGTCCTTGGTAAAAAAAAAGGGGGGGTTCAAGTAGTAGTTAGGTTTGCTTGCAATTTCAGAGAGGTGGAAGTTGTCTCCTCTGCGCAGTCTAGCTCTCTTCGGTGAATATGCATCTGATTTGATTGGTAGTTTATTTTTGCTTATTTTGTGCGGGTTGGTAAGCCGATTTAGTTCCCGCCTTTGTTCAAGTGTCGCCAGTGAAAATATTGGTAACACTGCTCTTCCTCGAGTGGTTGTTGTACACAAAGCGTGCATCTGAAACCCTGGAAAAGGTCAGGTAGTTTTGGGCTGGAAAAAGTGATCGTCAGAAAGACAAATAAAACCTTGACATTTATAAATGGGATGTTTTGACCAATTTAAAAAAGCTTCTGAAATGTGTTTGCCCCATTTCCCGTGTAGGATCTCCTGGGTCGGCCATGCACAGACCCCCCAGTTTGATGCGGCTTCTGATTGGTTTGAAAGTTTCTACTAGCAACGAGACCGCCCAGCCTCGCTTTGAATCAACCCAAGATGGCGGAAAACTTGAAGGACTGGCGGCGGGGCGGTTGAACTTGTTGTTCTTGTTGCAGGATATGTTATGTCGTGTATTGGAGTAGCTGTGGAATCCATATAAAATATTCTTTCCGAGGATTTGTACATCATGGATGTCGGAGAACGGGAATTCTTACGCGACCAAGGTAAGCCTAAGGTGAAAGGGTCTAACGTTATCAATTGTGGTTATACTAGGCCTACATGTATATACCGTACTATTCCGCCTCCGTGAGTATCTGTACAAAAATGGGGGGACTTAATGCAGTGCTGCATCACTTGCGTGAAAACTGAAAATAAGTTGGTGGAGCGGAGGCTCTAGTCTGAATTTGAATCCGGTAGGCATGGCCGTAGGCGTACCAGTTTTTGTGGGTCTTCTTAGGCAGCAGCAATAATACACATGCAGCAGTTGTAACGTTAGAAATTGGTGCGAAGAATTTCAAAATCAGAAGATTCAGAATTCATAGTGAATGCTGGTCAACTCATAGAGTCGTACACCGACCAACTCGTACGCCGCCAAACTTGGGCAGCTCACACAGGTGTCGGAGCATTAACCTCGTACAAGCTTTTGCTGCCGTGTTTTCACCAAATTTACCTGTAGTAAGTTTAGATGTAAATCAATTAAATGTAAATAAAATGTAAATTAAGTAAATGTAAATAACCAGATAAGCTGATTGTTCGTTACTTTTTTCTGTTTACGTCGAGACTGGTATTTTCAGATTTGCTTAGATATCCTTAAGGATTGGTATTAAGTCACATTAAAAAATGTCCGTAAATTTAAGGTGTCCGTAATTGACTTTTCCGTAAAATTACGGAATTGTTCCATAATTTTACGGGAACAAGTCCGTAATTTTACGGGAAATTTCAATTTAAGGAGACCATAAATTTACAGAAAGTTTTTACAGTGTTTAAAAGATATGTGGCCTGCGAGGGCAAAAATTAAAAAGAAAATAACTGCATTGAATAATCTCTTTTTTGAAAATGTGTGGCCATGGGGCCACTGGCTCTGAAAAGAGCCGTTTGTTTAGGTGGCTCTGATCCCCGTTATCAGTCAAGGTAGTGACGGGAATTAAGGATGTTTCTAATAACATTAGTTATATACTAGGCGTACGAGTTGGTCAGCGTACGAGTTGGCACGCACACGGCTTGACCAAACTGCACACGAGTTGGTCGGTGTACGAGTTGGGTGGCGTACGAGTTGGCCTGCTTCATTCTCAGTTACGTTATGGCCTGACAAGTAACGTGGTTACATGGACATGCATGACTAACGGACAGTCAATCAGTGACACTAACAGTCAGTCAATAGCCTTTGTAGGCTAACAAGTTAGGAGTCAGTGTCACCGTGGTCACTATCACTGTCATACCCCAGGACTGCCTGACTGTGGGGTCCGACATCCGCCTTGCTCCATGAGGGAGCAGGGCGGATGTCGCACCCCACAGTTCTTGAGATATCAGTGTCATTGACAAGAAAAACTGTAACCACGGTAACTGGAAAGAATTCCATCCTATACGGACACCATTCGTTTGAGGAAGAGTTCCTTATCTGCTCTGAGCGGAGAACACTGAGTACGCGTAACTAATTTATTCCGGCTTTTATGGTCTTTGCATACACGCAGTAACCACCTGTCTTTCTTTTGCTGATTGGGGGTGCACTGCAGCTCAGGATGGATAGGCCTACCCTGTACACACGATACAGTCAGGGACCAAACCACAATCTAGCGGCATTGCTAATTTTTTGCTCATATCGCTTGTTCAAGTTGCGATGATGTCGTGTTTATCTGGATACCTGACAATGGAAATAAATGATGCAATAGGACACGTACTTCCCCAAAGTCAACAATGTTTAACTTAATGTATTTTTTTTTGAGGGAGTTAATCACATTTGGATTAGTTTCTATCATGTTTTATTATTGCCGCATGTACGGTCTTTGCCTACATGCAGAATGCGTGAAAGAACCTGCTTGTAACCACCTGTCTTTCTTTTGCCGATTGATGATGCACTTCAGCTTGGGTCGGATTTCGAAATGACTAAGTTTGTTTAATTAGTTACCGTTAGTTAACTGTTACAAAAACATCACATAAAGTCCAAATCAGTGGACTCCCCACTGAGGGGGTGAGTCGGCAAGGGCGGAGTTGGTTGAGTCGGCTAAGGGGCGAGTTGACCTAAAATCTCCCATGATTTTTGCACAAGATTGAGTGGTGTCTGAGAACTCTTTTTGCTAACCCTATGGCTATAAAAAAAGCACAACTTCCTGGAGCATAACAATTGAGAAAAAAATATATACACGGATTATACGTTTATGACATTTTGTTTTATAAACGGCAGTACGATGTATGTTTTATGGCCTGTTTAACAATACATCATGGCAGAGATGTCATTGCTTTAATAAACATACATGTAACCATGGATTTTTGAAAAAAAGATTTTTATAAATATCAGGTCAGGTGTGAAAAACTAGTCAGGCGGCAGTGTCTACCTAATTAAAATTCGTATAAGAATTTGATTTTCAGGGGCCTCATAAAAAGGAGTGTCTCCTCAGTTTGGCCTGTTTGAAGTGAAGAAAATGTTCTCAATTGAATGTCTTACTGTATGTGGTGTGAGTTTACATGTATGTGATGTGGAAATGTAGTGATGTTTCAACCGTAGAGTTTAGCTTGATTAGGCTACATGTCGTTGTCTGAACAAAAAAAGGGTGGGGATTAGACAGTCTAGCACGGGTAAAAAGGATTTCATTTGGCTCTAATAAGGGTTTCCAACTCGCTTGTTCTCACTAGACACTAAACACTGTTGCTCAATATCAACAGACATGTACCCATTATTGTTATGTAACAGCTGCACAAACTGTCATAACAGAACCACTGACTGTTCATGTGAATACCAGTACAACAGAAAAAATATGAAGGACACATTCATGATACTGTCGACGGTTTCTTCCTCGAGACACAACATGTTGGACCGGATCTACAGTACATGTATGTAGGTTGAATAGCCCGAAACAGTAAACTATCAGTAGATTATTGGTTAGAGATGCTTCCACTTCCACTTTCCAAAAGGAGTATGTATTTCTGTGGCGCCCTTACATTGCCCTTTAACCAGTAACTTGCTACAGTGTGCCTACATGTACCTGTATATAAATGGAAGATTTATGATACGTGCATTGAACCGTGGCAAATGCCTTGCAGCTGCCCATTTTGCAGTATGCAGCAAATGCTGACAGTGAGGTGGGATGTACGTTATAAATAATGAATTGTTCCAAGTCGTTATTGAGATTGAGTTCCTCTATGAAATTGCCTCTTCACCAACGACTCACTGTTGGCTTGCAACTAGGCCAGTCCATAATTTAGGAGTGTCATAGTCACGACACCAGCAACACTTGAAGTCATCTCATCTCTCCAGAGTACATGTACTTGTACACAAAAAAGCTAGCCGGGCTCAAACCTTCATACATGTATACTCACGTTATTTACTGTCTGTACATGTACCCTTTGTTGGAGTAGCTTACACTTGGAAAGAGGATTTTGTTGGTTTGTTCATTTGTTGGGGTGTTTGTTTATTTTTCTGTCATAAAATCTTTGACTACTGCAGTGATGTGGAAGCTTTTTGTGAATACTGCAGGAGGCTGCATGAACCAGTTCATTTATTTGGTTCATTATGTTCAATACATCATACTTTGTACATATTTTACAGCATTTACCTGATCCGCCATTGGAGTGTTATTGTTAGGTTTTTACGGTTTCCTTTGAAATTCAACGAGCCATTTTTATGTCACCTGATGCTTTGTTTGAAAACTCTGGTGTTCGGGCAAAGAGAAAAATACGAATTGCTTTGTTATGGCTTTTGCGTATTTTCTCATTTGTTTTTTTTGCGTAACATGTAGTTCAGCGGCTGAATGCAGAGTTGCAGCACTATCAGGAGAAGTATATGCCTCTGGAAGAGAAGGAAAAGGTACAAAGACCAACAAAAATCCCACCCTAAAATGTGCTGTTAAAGTTTGATTTGTGCATTCAATTTTTAAATGAACCGACCGAAATCAAAGCAACGGAATTCCTTAAGGTCCCCCAAGGAAAACAGTGCTGTGATAACAATGGAGCTGCATGGTAAACTGAAAAATATGACAGTGTTTTTAAAAACTGCCTTGTTCATTTCATCTTTTGTTGCTCTCTAGTTTAAACAATAAATCGTTTTTTCCCTTTTGCAAGTCCAATCATATTTACCAGTTAGTAATAGTTCTTTTAAGGCAAATCAGGTGGAATGAAGCTGAAATAAAGCATTCAAATCACATGAAGTATTGTTTCAAACATTCAAACAAGTTTGAATTATTCTTGTAAATGTTAATGCGTGGACCAAATCAATATTTTCCTTGGTATGTCTTTTTAATAAAAGTATTATGGCATTGACAATGGCAATTGATAACAATTTTGTTGTTTTTTTTGTGTTAACATTCACAATTTTGTTCAGGGTTTAATATGATTTTGATGACTGTTTCCAGGCAAGCTTGCATACTTCAGCAGGTCCTCCGGCTCCATGGCTGACAAGTAAAAAGTAATCATTTGTGCCTTTTCCAGTTGTTGAAACCCAAGCAGTTCGCAATCCTCCAACAGGAGAAGAATTGAGGACTGTAGCCCAGGATGGACGCCAGTCTTCATTTACATTAATTCTAACCGACATTAAGAATATTAGTACCCTACAATGTGAAGAAAATAACAAAAATGTTTTCCCACTTTAACCTGACGGAGAGAGCTGAAATTTCATTCACGTATTCCTAATGTCTGGAAGTACATGTACCCACTTGCTAGGTTTAGAATAAATATCTTTCGGTGACTGATCTGTAGGGAAAGTTTTTGCCAAAATTTCCGTATAGTATGATGAAGTGATATTCTGGATGTTAGTTGCAATCCCACGATGAAGACATCATCCAAGAATAAATATCATTCGGTGACTGATCTGTAGGAAATATATCACAATTCTGTCCTTTCGACATAAACATCCAAACGCACCAGTACATGTACACATACATGTACAACTTCATCTGGCTCACTGCCACTTCAAGAATCACTCAAAATAATGTTTGGTATCTTTTGGTCTAGGAACCAGACTTGGCAGTTGCTGTGCATTTTTCAACCTCTTCCCCATCAGTTATTCCAGCTTGGCTTTCTACATGTATGCGTAGGGGCACACCGCTCTACACATGGTGAATAGGAATGCGTTTTGTGCCTGAGTGCTTAGTGCGAAGTTCATTCGAATTTTTACAGTAGACGCGATGGAAGCCTGAAATTGTGATGTACATGTATATTTAACTTTCAACAAATATGTCACCCAAGGACATCTTTACATATACATGTACATACAATGTACATACTTATTCCAAACCTAGCTATTGAGCATATGAATGAAATTTCAGCTTCATGAACGTTCTGATAAAATTTTGAAAAAAAAAAAAATTCCCAAAATTTCCGTATAGTATGATGAAGTGATATTCTGGATGGTACATTAGTTGGAATCCCATGATGAAGATATCATCCAACCTGGGCTGGGGGAAATGTATGTATGTAAAGTATATTGAAATATTGTTATATAGCAAACAATACTGAGAACATATCATTAAATGTAAGCCTAGCCTAGCAGGTGTAGCAGTGGATTCAAATGTAGATAGCCGATCTTGTACAGGTACATGTATTATGAAGTTGCACTACCTCATTGTCTGAAAATACACTGAGCAGCCCACAGTCAAAATGTGTGAAAAAGAACTTGACACCCACCACAGTCGTGTGACATGCACTTATTTTGACCTGTGTCTGAAATGGCCACTTTGTTGCATTGGCAGCTGGAGTAGTGTTTTATTTTCTCAATAGAGGAGCTTGAAAGTGAATTTTACTTTTTGTGTCACCAGTTTATTATCGCCACTTATTGCTGAATATGATCACCAGCTGTCATCGCTACGGAAACAGATAAAAACATACAAGGTAGGCGTGCTTTAGCTCTCTTGAACTTTAACCTGACGGAGGGAGTTGAAATTTCATTCACATTTTCCTATTGTCTGGAAGAACCCACTTGCTACCGGTAGGTTTAGAGTAAATGTCTTTTGGTGACTGATCTTTAGAAAATATATCACAATTCTGTGCTTTCGACACAAACATCCAAACGTACATGTACAACTTAGTCCGACTCACTGCCACATCAAGAATCACTCAAAGTAACACAGCTACATGTATCAGTATTATGTTTTGGAATGTTTGCTCCTAGTTCAGTGTAAACTATTTATGGCCATCTTTGAGAATAGCTTATTTCTGATATCATTACCCTTTTTGATGAATGAAGGAAAATATTTCTTTTTCATGAGAACAAATCGATGTGACCAGGCTTTATTAAAAATGTTTACATGGAAGTTGTTATGATTTTTTTTTCAGGCTGAACATGTGGAACTGTCTGGGAAAATTGACAAACTGGTGAATGAAAACAACAGGTGAAAATGATGAAAAGCTGCTCATGTATTTAAAATCAATCTGATTTAATTTTGTTCAGATTTATAACAGTTGAGATTGGTACTGATTAAACCGTCATTAATGATTGATTATTGATAAGTCCGGATCAGGTTACTCAGGAAACTGAAAGTAGAAGCCTGGTCTACCTGGTGGTCCTAAATGAAATCTTCAGAGCCAATGGGACCAATTTATTGATCCTTACCGATTTATATATTGGTCATTGATCAGCAATGGCCAACTTACCTGATCCAGTATTCAGGACCAGTTAGAGACAATCATATGTCCCAAGCTTGCAGCTTATTTGTTGATTAATCAACATTGATCAATTGTTTGATTGATGATCGATCAATCCTGCTCAGGTTACACAAGGAGTTGAAAGCCAGTATTCAGGGACAGCTAGAGGCAGTGCATCAAGTCTCTAGGGCAGACACCAGCATAATTGAAGAGCAACAACTTATCGACAATCTACAGAAGCAGATAACTCTAATCACACAGGTGAGTGAAGTGCAACGCCAGCATGTTATTTTGCTTTCAACATTATTTATTATATTCTGAAGCGTTGGTGTCTGAATTTATAATGTATAATAAAATTATACCCATGTGATGATTGTCCTGTGAATGCCTTTTGAAAATATACCCCATAGTCAGTGCCAATGGGGAATTTTTCAGAAGTGTTGTAAAATTATCAAATTTTAAAGCAAACTCCGCTCTTTGCTTTGGTTTGTCAAGTTAATCTGTGTTTACCACTCATTGGTGGTTGTGAATCTTTCATTTAGTCCCATTACATGTTTTACATTCACCTTTTTAACGATAACCATGTCATATGTTTCAGTAATGTCAACGTATTGACTTAATCTGTAGGAGAAAGATTCTGCTGTGGAGATGTGGCAAGAAACAGTGCAAGAGTTAGACAGACTTGCCAAGGAACACAGGGTCAGTGCTGAGATCTTTCATGTATACTCTTCATCAGTCATTCTGTCCTTTTGTAAAATTTCCAGTCTAGAATCCAGTCCTCTTTGCATGAACTTAACAATCCATCACTGTGCATGAATCTTGCGACGCATTCTTTGTTCTTCAGCTCCCATGGGGCATTACCCTCCATGCAAAGTACTTTTGGCTGGACTCTACTTTCCCCAGTTGTGCTGAATCCTCCAACACCCATTAGATTTTGAAGGATCTCAGAGACGGTCAGGAGGAGGGTTCTTACAAGACACGTTTTATATCAAGTTGTGGTACTTTCCTCGTCTTCTACCTCTGCAACCCAAAGTTTGAATACAATCAAGGTTGGCATGTGAATTGGGGTCTGATCAGTCCCGACCTGATCCCTTGGGGTTTCCCTGTTCCCAATAACCTATTGATGATACTGTATTTGTGTGCAGGATATGTTGGGGAACAATGAAGCTCAAACCCAAAGATACCAGGCTGTTCAGGTATGAAAATTCTTTTTCCACCTTGAATCCTGATCCCAAAATTGTATTGCTTAACTAAACTCAGAGTAGAAACAAAAATAAGGTCAAAGTTAAGTTCTTAGATGTTTTACCCTTCCCCGTCTGATTTTCTTTGGGTAGCAGTTTACTGTGAGTATTTCTTTTGAATTATTAGTGTACTGATTCTTTCTTTTTTTTCAGGAAAAAATGTCCGCCTTAATGAGTCAGAATCAAATCTTGGTGACTGGAAACCAAAAACTAGACATGGTAAGTGAGAAGGAGTGATTGCATTGGCAGATGAATGAAATTCACATGATGTAGGATTGCTGTAGTCATGATTTTGATCAGTGGGTTGAGTTACATGTACATTGGGATATGGCCCTGATATCTCAGAGATTAACAGACCTAAACTATAATGACGTTACGCTTTGTATATGTATGTGCTTTCCCATAGGGATGGATGTGTCCTACCCTGCTGCCATAGGAAAGCACATATGTAAACAAAGTGTGATGATCATTATGTTATTGGTATATTCAGAATAGTTTTCACAAGCTTTAATTGGTTATGAAATCAATACATTTTATGATTTGCAGAATGGAATAACCTTTTAAAAAGTTCGAATTAATTGAATACTTGCCATGCCCAAATAATTTCACTTGAAAGACTGTAAAGAAGTATAACTCTAACTACTTAATTTTATTCATATAGGAGCCTATGAATCTGTCCGAATCCTCCGCTATGTAGAAACACAATGACACTTTGCTTTAGCTTTCGTACTGTAGGTAATTCATGCCTCCTGTAAAGTACAAGTGTCTTGTACTAGTCTTGGGATCAAACCTTCCTCAATCTTGCAATCCTCCAATACCACTTGGCGGGGTTTGAAGCTTCTGGAAAGCTCCGGGCTGAAGAAACTGTGATTGGTCTGAATAGCTTAATTTGGCTGTTAAGTCCACTGATGCTCATGTTGGAAGTCGAGTTCCCCTGTGTCTTCTCTAATTGAGCCAAACTCTCTTATTTCTTGACCAGGCCAGTCAGCATCTCCAGCAGGTGATTGCCTCCCAGTCCCAAGAGCTAGACACACTCAGGGATCACCTCAAGAGAGCCAGGACTGATCTCAGAGCAGCAAACCTACAACTGGCTGAGATGAGAAACACAGCTGAGAAGCTCAAAGAAGAAAATCTGGCCAAGGTACTAGCTGCTTTGGTTGTTTCGCATCATGTGCTCAGACCCTGAAGAGGGCATCGGAATGAGAAAATGCCAATCAATTGATAAACCTGTTTGAAAAATTGGAATTTCATTTTTAAATTTAACTTAAATTCAGGCCATTTAATAAGGGTGTCTGTCACAAATTCTGTAATGAATTAATGGACAGCACTTACTGTACACTTCTTTTTGTTTCAGTGACATGGTTGGCTTTTATGCTTTGGGAAAGACAAAACAATGAAATCTTTATATTGTCCAGTTTTAAGTACGGGTAAGATGGCAATTCAGAATTTGGAAACTTTAAGACGTTAATTTCACCTTACGAAACTCATGTCGTTTAAGAACAGACAATCTGAAAGACCCACTTTTTTTCCCATTCACATCATATTACTGCATCCTATTTTGGAATCATGGTTATCCCTTCCATCTGCTGCATCTTGGTCAAACACCTCTCAACATTTCACCATAAACACACTATCATCAACACCAGCTTAGCAATATCCTGTTTTTTTTCCTGTCAGGAGAGGGAGAGTCAACAGGCCAAAGGTCGAGAGGAATCAGCCGACAGTAGATTGACACAGCTACAGGCTGTGGTCATGGACCTAGAACACAGGTAAGCTTTAATGCCATTCACTCTCCCTATGCGTCACGTCAACCGTACTCCAAACTATTACCAAAGTGTTGTTAACAGCACCCCCTCCGGCACAGTTTTCTAAAAACCTGCAGGCCTCAGTTGGATGCGTTTCTTTCCTCCATAGATTAACTAATTTATCTGAAGAAAATGCCCAGTTGCTTGCCAACCTGAAGGAACAGGAGGAGAGGATGCGATCCTTACACCACAAGTGGTAAGCACGCAATAACACCGAGTATGACCGAGCAAATGCCATCCATAAGCATCAGAACTTGGACTTTGTCTACTGATAAGGAAAATGTGATGATGGTGGGTGAAGCAACTGTGTTAAAGCGGTGTTCAGATCTGGCACATGACCACAGTGAACGTTGTAAAAGTATCTTAATTGTAGCCACACTGTTAAAGGAGCAGTGTGTTACAAACAATTTGCTGGACTGATTTCTGCTGTGCAGTGGCAAAGCTGAGCGGAGAGAGCATGAAGCATTGGCCCAGGTACGAGACAGCATCCAGATGGTGGAAAACGCTCTGCTTGAGAAAGATCAGGTCAGTCACTTGTTGGAATTTATTAGGATGTCTTTGAGATGTTGTTTAATGCTGTCGCACAGGCTTGTTAAAGTGTTGCTGATGGCCACGTTGTGGTTAAGACAATGTCTTTTTCTCTCTGGCAAAATGAAGTTCTTAATTTTAATTTTTTAATAACAGCTTTTAATTGGAAAAATCAGCCGACCCCAATATTGCTATTATTCCAAAGGAAATGATGAGAACATTTCCAGATATTCAGTCTTCAGACATTGTCTCTCTGTATTGAGCCCCAGCCTTACCTTCCTTTACTGTCAGGCCCTGGTGCGCGAGCAGCAGAAGACTCATGAACTAGGCAGGCTCCAGGAAGCCCTGTCCAAGCTGATCAACGAGGCTGGCAAGAGAACCAGACAAGAGGTGGACAACGTCAGGAAACAGTGCAACACCAACATTGGGAAACTCATGGAGGAGATACAGAGCCTAGAAATGGTAGAGAAGGGCTACAGTGGATCCCATCCATAGAGCTATATCTAGAAACCAGAGTGCCAACTTCTCATTTCTCCGTGCGAAGAAAATTTGACACCGTCCTGGGCGTAGACATTTTGAATCTATCTGCATGCTTGTAGCACATGTATAATCAAATAGAATGAATATCGAATAATGTATTCTAAATGCAACCCGCAAGGACAACCTATGCAAACATAGAGAAAAATGAAATGCTTATTTACTGATTGTGCGTTCAGGTTTTCAGGTTTTTTGTTTGTCAGGTTTGTTGATGGATCGTTTCAGACTACTGACGCAGATATGCAAATAGTCGTACAAAAGCCGTACAAAATTTCAAGTTTTCCATAGGTTTGTGCACAAACAGGCATCACTTTGTACAGGAGTCAGTGCTCTAGTTTTTATATATAGCTCTGTGGTCCAAACCAACTGGCTGTGCCTCCGAGTAGAACATTCGCTGCTAAGGCTATGGCTTCCATAGGTGCATGTATTAGACATAGCCATACAAAGGTCAGTGGGAGGGGGTTTGGCTATGTGGAGTAGTTGGTGAGTCTGCTGTGAGTCGGGTCGAAAATTGATAAGACCTGAATTGTATGTAGGAATGTGGAGAGTTTTAAGACCGGGCTGAAGACGCACCTTTTTAAACAAGCATTTTTAGTTTCTAAGTATTGATTTTAACTGTGGTACATGTAGGTTTTATTTATTTCTTATTTATTTATTCATTCATTTAATTATGTATTTCTTTATTTATACTTATACTGATGTACAGCACCTGGGAACAGCTTGATTGGATTGGGCGCTTTATAAATGTCAATTATTATTATTTATTATGTATACCTGCCAACCGTTCTTGCCAATCGAAACTGTCCAAATTTTTACAGTTTTAGAATGCGAAACATCAGAACGTTCCAATTTCAAGTTAAAAAAAAAAAAATTCCTGGCAAAATGGGGCTGTATTGAAGAATAAATGAGGGTGCTATTTTCAAAAAAGGAGAACATCATTTACTTTGGCAAAATATTACATGTATGCAGTGAGAAACAATAAGCAGCTAGAATCTGGAATACAAATAAGCCTGACTTCAAAACCTCCACAGTTACCACACATTTGCAAGAGGACATTGTGCCAAGCTGCAATCTAACTGGCCTTTCTCTAAACAGGAGAATGCCGAGAAGCAAGCTGAGATTGAAAGAGCCATGAGGGAGAAGAGGGCAGTAGAACAAGAACTGGAAACAGTAAGTTGAGCACTCATGTAATCTTGATCGGTCTTAATCTTGATAAGCCGACATCAGTTACTGGCTCTATCCACTCTGTTCTCTCTCGTCATCATCTTATTCCTTGCATGAATGCAAATAAACTCCTGACAGTTTGTCTTCAGATCAAGGTGTTTTAAAAGCCATTAATTAATAATCTCCTGAAGGCAAACGTAGACTACTCACAAGAAATCATAGTGTGGACAGCATAGCCAAAGTGCATGTGATTTTCATGTTAATATACACAAAACTAGTTTTCTTGTTAAGGATTCTAGGTCTATGTCAGCAGTTTAGTTCAAGTATTCTAGTACTTGATTTGAATCAGCAACCTCCAAAATGCCACACTTTTGACCTATCTAGCCCTATGATTGCGGTATTCAGTATTCAAACATTCCTCAGCGAAGTTATTAGAAACATTTTCATCCACATTATATGCGCAATAAACCTTAAACAGTCCACTGTTGTGTTTTTATATTTGTTGTAATTATGAACTTACTGTTTCACTGAACTCCTGAACTGATTCTGCTGACAACAGGTGTACAAGGAGGGGACCAAGGGGCCGGATGACCATCTGTATCAGGAGCTACAGGGTCGGGTTAACATAGCTGAAAGGATGAGATCACAGGCGGCAGTGCAAGTGCAGAAACTAGAGAAGGCTATGCAGAGAATGGAGAGCAGGTGAGATACAGTCAATCAATCAGTCAAGTAATCTAACAGTCAACTAATGCAAAGCTTTGGTACAGGTGCAGAAAGTGGAGAAAACTGCAAAATATGTCAGTCAGTCATTCCATCAGTCAGTCAAGTAATCAGACCCTCAACTAGTGCGAATGTACACTGGTTGTGTAGAAACCAGAGAATGCTACTCACTGAATGGTTTGGAGAGCAGGTGAGCTAATCAATCAGTCTGGCCTGGTTAAAGGTCTTGGGAAAAGGTCTTGACTGCAACACTGGTAACTTCTGTCATAGCTGATCACCTGCCACTGGCAGTCTTGACCCCTTAGGAAATGTAAGTGCAGTCCATTTTCAGCAAACTTCCTGGCTCTTCCCCTTCCACAGCCAAGAGGAGGAGAAGTCCCAGAGCCTCCTGATCAATGAGCAGCTGAAACAGCGGCTGGACAAAGTGGGCAAGGAATGTGAGGCAGTGTCAGAGGAGAGGCTGAGACTGACGGAGGTTGCGGATGATTACAAGAGACGACTCCTGACTGCCCAGAAGGAGAAAGCTGTAGCTGAGAGGAAGTGTCTGTCGCAGGTGAAGTTGAATGAGCCTTATGAATTGGGTTTTTCCCATAATAAGTTTGAAGTTGAGTTTGAAGTCTTGCACCGTAAAGAAAATGCATCTTTATCGTTTTCTCTCCAAAGGTTTCTCTGGGCTTTCAATACAGGTACTTTTGAAGAATTCCAGGTCACTTTATCAGAAAGAATTAAGATTGTTAGTGTTTCCTTTGACCACTTGCTGCCGGGTGGTTTGAAAAATGCAGTGCACATAATCGGGACTTTTCCAAGATTTTCAGTTTTAACAATTCTTCAACAATTCATCATTTCAACTAATGGACGTTTACACCCACATGAATCACTTTCTGGTGGCCACTCTAGTCTGACAGACAAAATCTAATGACGCCGGAGTATTTCAGCCAGGCCTGCAGCCTGATAAAAAGAACCCAGATTGTGCAGTGTTATATAACTATCTTTTGTTCACAAACCTGGCACAGTGTGCTGCTGACCTCTTCAATAGGGGCCAGATTAGCATGCAGCGATGCTGTGTGGCTCATCGCTGCGGTGGTGGAGGGCATTTGTCCCCGGTGGTAATCTGCTCGCACTAAATGCCCACAACCGTGGTATACTGTTTCAAAACAAGGCTGGATTATCTCCACTATTGACAGTGAAAAAATGTTGGTAATGCCCAGCAGCTCAATCTTTTGTGCCGTGCACGGTCTTTTGTTACAAGGCCCAGCTCTTTGTCCCAGTTTCGGGCTCCCCGGCTTCGTGTATAAAGCCTATGTGCTCAAAAACGGGTCCCGGGGCAGCAAGAGGTTAAAGGAGAAGTTAGCATTTGATTGCTATGTCTGAATGCTATGGCTATGGCTTGAAATAACACATGCACTTATAGTAGCCGCTGACTAGTGGCTACACCCACTTCCCATAGACACGTGTAGTAGATTCAGACATGGGTTGATGTCTTTGTTGGGCATACAGATGACGGCCATGCAGCAGGAGACGAGCCAGTTACGAGCGGAGTACGAAGCCAGGCTGGACAGCACCGAGCAAGGCAACCGTCAGGCCATGAAGGAACTCCGAGAGATGCTGACCGCTCAGCAGAGGATGAGTGCAAAGTATGCACAGCAACTTGCTGTATTCCGTTGGGTCACTACAGCTGTTCCATTGGGCTGATACTTTGGGGTGGTACTACTAAGACCTTTATTTTTATGAATCTTTATCATTTTTTTTCATTAGTGTTGAAAAAAAGGAGTAGCATTAATTACACTTGTCTATGATTGTTTAATGCTATACTTTTATATAACAGTACTTTTTACAAGACGCAACATGCTTCTGCTTATTGCCTTCATTATCATTCCTCTTTTTTTTGGACTAAAGATGGAGGGAGGAATCCAAAACACTTGCCCAGAAATTTGAGGCCAAAGTGAATGATCTCAGGTAAGTCCAGGGTAACCTTTACAGAGATCGTTTCAACAGTTTAGGACCAAAAATCTCTGATGTCTGTCCGTCCTTGTTTGGTTTTTAAATCTCTGATGTCTGTCCGTCCTTGTTTGGTTTTTAATTATTTGCTCATGACTATCACTGACACCAGGTTTTTTTGGGGGGGGGCTGTGTTAGTTTTGGATTACACAGGATGCACATCTGTTGGCTGTGCATGACATTGGCTTTCTGTGCTCAAATGATGATGCTGACCTGATTATGCTTGACACCTCTCCAGAGTTCTTGTCAAGCTTGTCACAAGTCCCAGGGAATAAACGGTAATATAGGGAATGCATTTGCCCAGTTCATTTTGAAAAGCAGGGTGATGGGAGACTGGATGACTTGTCTTAGACTTTGCAAGGAGTTGACATCAAAATATTGTTTCTCATGGATCAGTTGTCTATGGTTACGTTACCCGACAGATCAGAGATAGCCATGCACAAGCAGCGTTCGGAGGAACTGACATCACAACTCAGCCAGCAGAGGGAGATGTTTCTGGAGGTACGTCAGCTGGCATTTTCTTTCGACTTTTTCCATGCGCAAGTTTAGCCAAATTGCCAAGATGAATGTTTGACATTCATCAGTCTAAGCAGCTTTACATTTCCTTGAATGGATAGTCTTGGTGTTGTGATATCTGTTGGTGATGTTTTCATGTTGTTTTATTCAATTTTTAGAGTGAGAGGAAGCAATCAGAGGAAGCAGAAACGATTCGCAAACTCAACCGCAAACTTGCCGATACTGAACTCAGGGCTGCCACTACAACTAAACAGGTTCTCATCATCTTGTAACGTCGTAGCGCACTTTCACTCACATCAAAATCTGTTACCACTATCTCCCTTTGGTACTCCTGCAAGAAACCTTCCTGAGCCCTCCAAACTCTTTCAGGAAACCATTGACACATTCTTTGTAATCAAGAATCGTCAATTCCCATGGAAAGTCAACGTCGCTGGAGACTATACCATCATCAACCTGCAAGATCCTTCAAAACCTCTAGGAGGATTGTGAAGGCTTTCGGGAGGATGAGGGTTGATTTGGAGTGAGGCTGATATGTTAGTTATCCTAATGGTAAAATGTTGCCCTCACTTGGTGGCGGAATTTGCAACGGCTGCTCCTAAATTATGGAATGCCTTGCCATGGCACATAAGGTGCGAGCAGAGCCTTGCCGTTTTTAAAAGTAAAGTAAAAACTTACCTTTTTAATGGTGCATTTGCACAATGATATTGCACTGCAAAATTCTTGATTTTATTAGTTTTATTTATTGGGTTATTATTGTTAGTTTAAATTTTAATGTAGGTTTAGCTGTGATTTCTAATTTTAGTGTCACCGTGTCTGGTATAATTACTTGTCTTTTAGCGTAGGTAGGTTTAGAGGCGTCTGTCCCCGGGAAGGATGAGACATCACCGATGCCAGCAGGGTTAGATCTTGGTAAAATTGTTTTCCCTATTGTTGGGACAGACGTATCCCCATACTGCCGTTTGGGTACTAGCATGGTGACATTCATTCATTCATCCCTTCATATCTTAAATCCATTATTTTTTACATCACCTTGTACTCCGCCGTTGACCATTTTTTATGGAAATGGCACTTTATAAATGAAACTTGTGTTTCATGCTTTGACAGCTGTCGCAGCAGTTAGCCAGAGAGAAGCGACTGCTGCATGACAGGAAACACCTGCAGAATGAACTGGAGAAGCTCAAGCTAGAATCCAGTCGGTCCATCAGGTAAGTGGTGGGAGTCAGTGAGTGGGTTTGCCACCTGTTTGTTGTCACACATACGTGTAGATCTCAGTCATCTCACTGTTGCTTTTACCGGCACAGATTCAGTAAAAAAGGGTTACCAAGGTAGACTGAATCTAAATTAGATTACTGATTTACACATCGATGCAAAACAATGGGAAAGGTGAAAATTTAGACTTTTTGTCAGAAGATCTTCATTATCTATTAATCACTGTGTACTGCATGTACGTTGGGGTGCGTCATGTGACCCACTTAACCACTTCCTGCCGGGGATTCTGGATCCGGACATGTATGCTTTATATGCATGGCCGCGGTCTCCAAACATGGACAAAGGGAACAGGGCCTTGTAACAAAAGATCGTACTCGGAACAAAAGACCAGGCTGCTGGGCATTACCGACATTTCTTCACTCTCAAAAGTGGAGATAATCCAGCCTTGTTTTGAAACAGTATACTACGGTTTGGGGCATAGAGAGCGAGCGGATTACCATTGGGGACAAAAGCGCTCTACCACCGCAGCGATGAACCGCACAGAACCACTGCATGCAAATCTGGCCCCTATTGAAAAGAGGTCAGCAGCGCACTGAGCCAAGTTTGTGAACAAAAGAAAGTTTAACACTGCACAATCTGGGCTCCTTTTACCAGGCTGCAGGCAGAGGGGCCACCAGATAGTCCTTCACGTGTTTGTAAGTGTCCAGTAAATGAAGATTGGAATTTTTAAAGATTTTTGAAAACGGAAAAAAATGATAAATATCCCGGCCCAGCATCATCAACATTGATACCTGCCCCTTCAGGAAGTGGCTAAAAAAGGAGGTGCACTCAGATTGATTTTAGAACAACCAAAGACAAAGCTTTGTCTTGGCACAGTCACATCCAAAATCCTGGGCCTGGAAGAACTACTCAAACTAAAGGGACATAATCCAGTCAAGGTTCAGGGTGATTCACACAGGTGCACAAAATACCACTTAATATTTGCCTTTATATTTGCCTGGTGTGCTGACTTACTGGCCTTGGTTTAGACTGTGACTTGTTCATAAAATGGTCCTTTATTTTTAAATTGTGTCCATGAATTCCCCTGATGCAGGTTACCTGATCCAATCCACTTATCAGACTTAGACAGACCTGAAGCCATGCTAGCAGCCAACAGGATCCACAACGGCAGAGCGACGATGACCCTAGGCCAACATCTCAACCTGAATGGCAACAATGCAGCAGGTGGCATGGGTGGAGGGACCACTAGCCACATCAGCAGTGTCCGCAGCGGGCGATCCTCTTCTCTTGGGAGTGGCAACTCTTCACCGATGTAGTTTATATAAGATGTGCCCCGTGGAGGAATGTGGTTGGACATGGGGTCAATCTCACGGGCTGCTTAATGGATAAAGGAAACATCCCAGCAGGTTTCAAAACTTGGATATGCTGATCCTGTTCCCTGCTCTACCCTTCAGTCCGCCTTGAGTAGAAATACCCTCTGAATGCTTGAAAAGACTCATGTTGGTGGGGAGTGTATTAGGGATTAGATTCCTCAGCTTTTCAGCTGATTTCAGCTTTTTTTCCCTCACTGGATGTGTACAAAGGCATAGGAGATTTTCACAATTCAGCTTCTTTATGCCTTGTTTCAGCTGTTTTCACCTATTTTTATCATTGGTCAAATCTCACCCCGGTGTATATCGTGTTAGTAGTGACACAACTGTAACCTCTCGCATTTCATAGTCATTTTTGAACCTGCAAAGTGCAGTTCCCACAAAAGGAGTCTCTGTTGCTCGGAAAATTGCACCTTCTTTTGGTCCCACTCGGGACAGATACTCTGCAGCATGGTATTTTAAGTAAGGTGTGAAAAGAACAAAGAGTATTTAAGCTGTCTTTTGAAGTTAGCATGCTCTTCACCGTACATACACCTGTTAGTGAGTAACTGGGTTTGTTAGCGCAGAACTGCACCAAGAAACTCATTTGTGAAAATTACTGTAACCTTTGGGCTAAGACAGGCAGTTCAGAGAATGGGGCGTCTTGTTATCTGTGTATGCAGAAGTGTAGACAAGGCAGTGATCTATGTGGGTTTATACGGAGAACCTCATGCTGTCACTCAAATGTATCACATGGCCAGTAGCAGTCGACGTCCCTGTCCCAAGGTATGCTCACTCTGTCAATACCAGAACAGGGTTTTTCATTGCAAGCTAAATGCCAGATACCTACCAAATGTTGAAAATTCTATGCAGTGCTTTGTGGGCATTCTAAGGATTCCTGTTTGCATAACTCTTTTGACCAGCGTTAGGCTGGAGGCACTGAAGCACAGGAACCATTAATGAGGGTTTGATAGGTGCCTTGCCGTTCTTAAACCTTCGTGGAAGATTCGGATCAGCAGAATAAATGCTCCTGATAATGCCTGAGGCTTATAAAGCCAAAGCACATTTTTATTATCGTTCATAAATACCTTTTTAGTCAAGAAGTCAAAACAAGTTTTAAAAATAATACAAATTCTCAACAATTTTGTTGACCAGTTTCACTTCATTTTTTCAGACGTCCCTCTAGCCATGTTATGGTATGTTCCTCTCATGGATTTATTTATTTATTTATTTTTTACCCTGGGGGATCCATTCAGTAAGCCTGCTCACTGATCTCCCATGGATCCCAGCTTACATAATTTAAGACATTAAAATACCAAAAATACAATACAAAAAATAAAAAAGGATGAAAATTAGCAAAACAAATAAGAACTCATTTTACCAATATAATCAAACCAACAAAAAAATTGCACACAGTTCCACAAAAACTCATAGATTATAGTACACTACAACACAATGTATAGTCATAACAATCCCCTTATATGGAGATTGCCATGGTCATGGCGCCTACTTTGTGAAGTGGCATGCAGCCATGTGGGTGTTTTATCTATTGTTTAAGACCAGCCATGAGACAGGCTCTCAACCAGTAGGTATAGCTAAACTGTTTTAGGTATGTATTAAGGGAGCCCGGCGGATAGACTGATGCGTGAAAGCCTTTCAAAGGCTGAGCCAAGCTTCAGCCAAGCCTAGGCCAATGGACCTTCATAATCCCCAGCTGATAACAATAGACTGAGCTCCTATGAATAGGGTCTTAATAATAGGTATACTGTTGCAGCATGTAAGGTCTAAGTACCCAAGTTTGACAAGAAATAAAGAAGAAAATATGAGTTCCAAATATGGCAGGAGATATAAATTGAAAAGTGTCAGTCAAACTAAAGAACAAACTCAAGAGGTGTGATAGTTGTAACAGAATCGCTTAGCAAACATGATGCAAATTCTTTATCGGAACTGAATATTTTGGCACAAAGGAATATTTACCCATCAAATCCCATACTTCAGTATCTGATGATCTTTTTTTTTACAAGAGGGGCCTTGTAAGAATCAATTATTGTCATTTCTATGAGTTGTAAATATTTTCAATTTTTTTCCCAGAAATATAAAGTGTGTGTGTGCTTGTTTATTTGAATGAATTGTGGTACAAAGGTCTTAAAAGGCTGCATTTGTAATTTGGAAAAATAACATGCATTTACTAGTTAATGTACATGTAGTATTCAAGCCTTAATATTTTTAGTATTTGCATTCAGATTTCTTTTACAGCTTTGTAGTACATTGTATTTTGAAATTAACCAAATAGCCTATGGAATTGATTGCCTTTGCGTTATAATGTTGTTTCAATGGAATATATATTTATTAGCTTGTTTGGTTGAAACGTGTGTTGATGCATTTCCTAGTATTTGACTATCTGCTGGATACTGGTTTTTATCAGTAAAACCAATTCTCTGCCTTACCTTGATACAAGCATACAACTCCATTGTATGTTTATCCTTCATTTATTGACTAATATTGATTTCCGTATCACACATTTCATTTCAAGTGTCATTTGATTTTCACTACAATACCTGGGTGCTTTTTTTGAGAGCTGATGGTAAAAAAGTTAGTTGAGTTGGACTCGAACCAAAGACCCTCTGCTTACCAGTGCAAGGATTTTACAACGTGACCACCGAGTTTGTCAGGGTCACATGGCATGTTCCATCAGCAGTCCTCACTTTGATGTTAATCAGTTCAGAGATGTTTGCCACTCTTCATCGGCTCTTACCTGAAGCATACCATGCTCAACACCACCTGTTAGTTTTCAGGACTCATTGTTTACTTTTCTTTATAGGGAGGTACCTTTATTTGACTTCTACAGTAAACTTGCATGTTAACTCTTTTGCATTGTTAAAACTCTCACTGCCTCAATCGCCACAGTTGATGAAAGTTGCGGTGAAATGCAGATGCCAAAAAGATGCAGACTAGTAACTGAGAATACCAGGGTCGGTGTGAAAAAAAGACATCCCTAATGACCTCCCCTTGCAACAGGTAGAAGCTAGCAATTGCATCCAGTGACAAGATTTATAATTCTGTATGGACTTCCTTGAAGAAGTGCACCCTTGGGCATAAAGCAAAGCATTACTGTGGTTCCCACACAGTGTGCAAGCGGCTTATGGATGAGTGCATTTCATGCGGAGGTAACACGAATTTGCATTCATTCAAGTAAAAAAATTAGTTGCATGTGCACCACACCTGTGATATCACATAAACCATTCACTGAATCAATGATTTAAGTCCTGCTGCAGTAGCCTGATTCCAGACCCTTTTTTCTCCTGAAATTTCAGATCACCTGTTGGTAATGTACAGGTGAGCAAGCTCTGCCGTGTACCTGAAATTTCAGGCACAAATGTTACAGACTTCCTTCGTGCTTGAGCGCGCAGCCATTGATTGTTCATCAAATTACTGCGTCTGCTGGTCTGCTAAGGCAAGCACGTACAGTCAGTATGGCCCCAGATCTTGCATTATATTCTGTTGAAATTTTGACCTGGTTTTCTCCTTCCTGGTCGCATTATTTTACAAGCTGAACAAACATTACACAGGGTATACTAGGACATTCCTTGTTTGATTAAAAAAAATTGTAAACTGAAATAAAACTTTTGTAAACCAAAAATGTGGTTAAATGTATTGTGCATTATTTAACAGGCATGCAACTTTTCCTTGGATCAACTGATTTCGTCATTTTTCACTTCCCTCTCATGCCATTGGAATTTGAAAAAAACAGTACAAAATCTTGCGAAGATTGGAATTTCCTCTTTTTTGTCAAAGACCAAGTTGCAAGCCTGATCAAAAAGAAGTTTGTACTTTCTCTGCTTTGAATGATTTGTGTAGAAGGCACATCACTGAAGAAGGTAAGTTGATAATCACTTGAAAGTTTCTGTTGTGAAACAAATAATAATGAAGTTATTGATAACATGCACTTGGCACTCTTGGCACTATGCCTTGGTAGTATTCAGTCTTGGCATGCAATATTTTTGCTCTCCACCTTTCTTGTTTTTTTTTTCTTGCTTTCTTCAGGTATCTGTTAAGCTTAATACCCGGTGTTACAAAGCAAAGAAATTTTTAAGTGTATTACTAATGCATTTTCCGATCATTAACCCTCAGAAATCAGGTCATGCTAAGTTCATGAGGATTTTAACTTCCGGCTTTGTAAAGTTTCAGGATAAAATGTTCTGGAGAAGAGCTGTGAAGTGTTGAAGTACTATCACAAGCCATAAATAGCATGTTTACCATGCAAGCATTATGTGGACTTTTCCAGTAAAAGTGTTTCATGTTTGCCAACAGAAAATTCACAACAGCCAAACTTCTGCTTTCACAACATCTCAAAGGATGTATTGACAGGTTGGCTTCGGTGAAAAAAAGATTCCGCGTCGTCAGATCCTGTAATTTTTTGTTGATATAAATAGCTCGGATCACTATTTGGATAAGGTTTTGAAATCAGGAATAAAATCCTCAAGTACAATAGCTGTTCTCACTGAGTATAACCAGCTTTAGGAACCAATCACAATATGAACTCGGCAGTCAGACACTTTGCAGACTCTGTCTTACCTTGAAAAATGGGTTTGTTTATGTGAATGCCAACATGCCCACCAAAATGTTATGGCTGCGCTGATGTAAAAGGTCAGCCCAATTTTTTTGTAATGGGATTACATTTTGTTGTAGGTTTTGTTGTAGGCCACAGAGTAATACCCGTGTGAAAATGGAATAGATTATTTGTTCATGGGAGAATTGATGGTTTGTTTTCTGTTCTCTGTTTGCTGTGCATGGTGTATGGATTGTAGGGATTTCTCTTTTATCTCCAATATTTTGATGCAATATTTCTTGCAGGGCAGTTTGAGTTTCCATTTTCATGTCAGCATTTTATCGAGTTTTGTCTGATAGGTATTTTCCTATTATAGGTACATTTGATGAGGTGTAGTCAGGGATGTATGTGTTGGTTTTAGGTTGTATTGCTTGTAAAGTTGTTGCTGTCCGTTGATTCTTCTGTATTTTTCATTATTGCTCTTTGCCAGTTTGCTGTTGGGTTTCTTCATCTGATTATGTCTGCAGCTGATATTGTGAGTTTCCCCAAACTGTCCAGTTAGTCATAGCACTGTACAACTCGGCAGCAGTAGTTTTTTCAGCTCAGTTCCAAGGTTTCCCAGCACCAAGCACAGGATTCAAGGATTTGTATCCAGCTGTGAATTTTGCTCTTAAGTTGAATTGAACTTCTGCAGAGCTAGCTGTGCAGCAGTGATTGTGTGCCTGCAGCCACGCCCCTGGGCAGGACTTGCACCTGAAACTGGCTGGGATCTTATACTGTGTTGACACTGCAGTAGAATCCAAGTTTTCTTGACAGTGCTGCATGATAGTGATGGAGTCTTATATTGTTGCTGTCTGACATACTGGAATACAATTAATGTTGAAACTCCTATGGGAACTGCTATAACCTCCATGCTGTGTTTGCAAGGTGGGTTTTTTCACTTTTCAATCCAATACATGAGTCATGTTATATTTTATTCACTTTGGCAAACTTGATGTGTAGATTACAGATAGATTGCATGTTAATAATCTGTCAAGTTTGAGCCATGTTTGTCGTTTTATTCAGAATGTGGGTTTCAAGAATTAATGTGATCATAATGTACATCCGTTAAAGGTTGATGACTGGACTTGCATAGGGTCTGGTACATTGTGTGGTTTTCAGGTTTTCTCCCTCAGCTACACGATTCATGACCAGGTACGGTTTTTTGGCCCTTTATAAGAAGGAATATTTTAAAGAGACAAAACTCGATTTCCAATTTAACGCTGCTTGTGTTTTGAACTTACACCATTTTGAAAAGAAATCCAGCTTAGTCTTTTCAAATAGGTAAATCATTAGAATTAGAAAACCACAGTAAATGAAGCGCCCAACCTTCCGAGAAAATAAAATAAATAAAAGGAGTGCAGCTCTTTATTTAAATTGACACCATTTTGGTTGGATTTTGAAGAAACTTTTCAGGACATTTGGGGAAACCTCTAGATTTTTCTCAATGGAGAGAACACTCCCCCCCCCAACTCATTTTCTTGATATTATTTCTTTTGCTGGGACTATGGGGTGAGGTTTACTATGGTAACCACCCTTGTCTCTCCCTCTCTCCCAGTTGCATGATATGTCACTATCAGCTTGATTTTCTTCTCTATCAAGATGTCAATTGTCTGTTTCAAATATCCTTATTTGTTTAGAGCGATCATGATTTATCGGGTAAGCGTTCTGTATGTGAATATTTCTTACCCTCATTATCACACCGTGACAACTTTTATTACCCCGTTTGCGAAATCCTGATTTTTTCCCCTGTTACTCAGAAACACCATTTGCATAAGTTATCTTATCAAACGGAAGTTGCCCAACTCCAAGGTTTCCTAGTTTCAGTGTGGTGGGGTCACCGATCGATCGTGCAAGTGATTACTTGGGTCTTTGATTGCATACAGTAGGATGTGCTGAAACCGAATATGGAATTCTTCCCGGACATTATGTGGTTATGTGGCACACATTGCATTGACATGATTATTGTGTTCATGCTATCATGAATAACATTTCTAGTTGCGTGGGAGGTTAAGTTATTTTGATTGTTTGAGGTTGACTTGGTTTGTTTTTTCAGCCCTTCCCTACTAATCAGAGTGTAAGACAACTGTTTTGTTTTTAGGGATTTTGTTAAATGTTCATCTCTGTCATTCACTATAATTTTCTTCCAGTCAGATAGATATTTTGGTAAGTGTTTATTTCAATTTTTAAGTTTGTGGGGTTTTTTTTGGGGGGGGGCATTCAACCATTTAATTATTTGAACTATGAAATATTAATTTTTTATAGCAGTTTGTAATTCTTGTGCATAATAAAGTGCAAACATAACAAGGTTTGATTGTTCTAAACTGCTCTTATAGTCCTTCGATGATTTCTCTGTACAGTATAGTTTGAAGTATTATTTCTTATTATTCAGTATTGTACATGTACATGTAATAAGTCAGTTAACCTTTTTGCTGGTGTGTCAATAATGTTTAAATAGGTGTCACTGAAAATGATGAATCAGGACAAAATATCTCAGCTGAGATGGCAAACATAGTGCTAAATGTGAATGGCCGTTGTACTACTAAACAAACACTCCAAGCCAACCATGCACACCAATTATACCACAACATATGTTCCCAACCAGCTGTCTGAGTACACTGTGAGTAGATCAGATTTGATGATCACTCCGGTAAATAGGACGGCAATTGTGGTCTGGCATTATACCAGTGTTGTGAATGGCCTTTTGAGTCAAGTACAGGGATTATGAGTTGGCTTGTGTAGACCCCTACGATTGGCTGGGCATCACGTGCTGTTGTGGGCATTTACTGCGGATGCTGAGATCAGGTTTGATTAGAATTCACAGACCGACTTAAATGTTGAAATTGAGTCACAAAGTGCTTGGTGAAACTGCATGTACAGTATGGTTACAACGCCGCAAGAACACTGCCTAGTATTAGTAATTTATCCAGTCTGGTATCCAACACAGTGTCTTGCTGTCTGACTTTTGCCCCAGTTTCTTTCAGACAAAATCCAACATTGATGGATTAAATGAACCCTGAACGGACTTCTCACTTCCATAAGGGATCATCATCAGTCCTCTCTTCTGCATGCTGGAGGCACTTCATCCATCTCAAGCTTGACCCAAAAATCTCAAGCTGGTAAGTTCAGGTTATAACCGTGGGTCTTTTCCCATGGTGTTGCTGTAAGAGAAAGTAGAGTGATTGGATGGTTGTTTTGAGTGTGTGACCTGTTTCTCAGTGATGTGATACATTTCTTAGCTGTTCGTGATCCGAGTGTCTTGTCATCATGGTAGTAGGGGTGGGGAAGCGTCGCTCCCTTTGCCTGCCTCTTTCTGTTACTCTCCCCTCCCCATATCATCACAGCATGCCTACATCACAGTATTTCTCACCAATTTTATAGTCCAGGGTTTATTATGACCTGCCCAGGAAAGAGGCAGCTGCTAGTGTTTACAATGACAGTGCTTCATGTACATGAGTAGCTCAGGTTACTTGGTTTCACTGTCCTACTTGCATCACACACTGTCCTTGTTTCCCAGGAGTCCAGCCCATGGGTGGGCCTGATTAATTTCCTTCTTCTCATCAAAATTTAATGTACATTGTTCTCTGTGTATTGTAATTCCATCAATGCATTGATTTAAATGCATACTGTTCTGACATAATCTGCTGTAAATGAGTGTTTCATTCACCCTGTTTTGGCTCTGGCACATTTGAAAATTGAATGTTATTGAAACAATTTCATATGTCAAGCATTTTAAGATTCACATGGATGTACATAGCTTTAATTGTACAGTACACAATGCATGAATGAAAAATGGAAGTTCTCCTTCAAAAATCCACAGGTATACATGTATAAAGTCGTGTACAGCGGCCCTAGTGAGGTACCATGTTTGTGCTAACCTCATCACCTGTGCTTTGGCAGGATGGATTGCTATCAGTGTTCATAGTCCAGACCTATTATATAGTGATTGAGATATCTCCAGATGGCATATACGTAATTATAGTCCAGAACCTTTTTGACAGCAGGCTTGATGGCAATTGTTCCCCTTCCATGTTACCAGATGGTCCACGTGGACAGTCGTAAATGTGGCAGAAGATTGCTCACTCAACCACGTAGACCCCGTGTATGAATTTCCTGTCGTGTTAACATTGAGGTTTGACATGGTAGCTGTGATTGGTGAATGAATGGTTTCTTCTGCCTGTTTTGCCTTTGTGAAATCAACCCTTGAGCTGGAACACTTTGATAAATCTGCGTTATTCAGAGAGAAAAAATGTACAATCCCATAGTGGTTTGATTTGCATTTTGTTCCTCAGAATACAGCATGATTTTTTCTTGAGAGCTCCACCGGAAACTCATTTACAACTGGAGCAGGCTCACAAGTTAAAGACGTGGGCTGATCAATGCAGTCACCCACGATCAGATTGGCAAAGTTCAAGAACTTCAGCAACCTGCTCACAATCTGAAGCATTCGCAGTTGAGGTTGGGATAAACACAGATGATGGATTGCACAGGTTGGCAGGGTCAACCACCATTATAAAGACCAGTAAAATCTCAGGTGTATTCAAAACTTTGGAGTAAAATCTTAGGAATGGCTCAGATTGAGATTATGGAGTCAGAATGGTTGAGTTGCATGTACTCGTTCTGTGTTTCAGAGATTTAAATATACAGTTGTCACGACTCTCCCTATCCTTTAACATTTTCTCTTTTCCTTCTGTCATAGACTCATCACCAGTTTTCATCCATGCTGTACTAGACCCTCCAACTATCTGATCGTTCCTTCTCTTTTTCCCATCCACTCTTTCATCCTCCCCAATTCATCTTTCACTTAGCCTGCATCATCCCTCCACTGGCACCTCATCCATTTTCCAAGCCATTTATGTCCCACCACCGCTATCCCTCTTTACCCTATCTCTCTTCATCCCTGACTTATCTCTAGCCATATACTCCTGCCCTCTAGACATTCCAACATCACCTGCCTCAAGCCCAATTCCCCAACCCCTCAGGAGTACCCCAGCCAGCAAATGGTCATCATCCAGGGAGGTGACAAAGTCAATCCCATCTCCCATCGCTCCAGTGTGCCTGTATTTTGTCAGTGGCGTTGCCGTAGAGCCGAGGCACTGGAGGTATTTCCAAGAGCAGTTAGTTACAGTGACTCCACATCTCAACCTCTGAAGATTTCAACCTTTGACAATGGATCAGAATCCATCAACTGTCTTGGGAATACTGGCAGAAATTAATCCTTTCTAAAGGTGAGTGTTTCATGGAATGTTTTGATAATTTGAGAATTTGGTGAGGGGAATCCCCTGATTAAGAGTTGCGGAGTGACTAGAATGGCTGCGTGTTTTATCCAGGGAATAACAGTTCGCATTCTGTACATCTGCTGTGGGTTCCAAGTAGGTCCTTGGAACGATTCTTGGAACATACGCTGGGCCTAAACAGGTGAATGCTGATGAACACTGCTTTGCCAGTTCATGTGCTAAGCAAAAAAACAGAGGATCAGTTTCAAGTAATACACTTTGCATGGCACTTCAGCTGCTGGTAACCTGTTTTGCTAAGCAAATATTTTCTGTGCTATGTAGTTTTCCATGCTTAGCAGGAGACAGTGTGTGGCTGAGTCATTAGAACCAGTAAGGAACTTTTTTTCACTGGTTGTTGCGAACATCTGACATGGAGGATGGGCAATGAATTTTCGACAGAATGTGCCCAAACTGGTAGACTCTTGGCATAAAAGGAATGCACCTTAGCTTTGAAGGAACAGAAAAATGGCACTGTCCAAATCAAATATGGCTAGGACTCAGACATATACATGTAATTCTAAATGACAATTAGCCACATACATGTATAGCCATAGCTAGTGGCTTCCATAAGTACATCTGTTACTTTCAGCCACAGCCAATTAAGCTAGATGTGGCTTTATCATGCTGAAGTGGCATTAGTATAGCTGTAATAATGTTGATTGTAGGGTATGAGTTGAATGTGCATGTAAGGTGTTAGCTCATGGTTATCCTTTGAAGAACGGTACAGAATTAGGCTGTACAGGAATGCATTCCTCCTTGGTCACTCACTCATCAGTATTAAGGTCAGCATGTCTGCATAGTTTGCATTGCAAGGGACTGGCTGGAGACATTTTGCACTGGAACAAGACAGATACGATCAGAATATTACATATTTTGTGGACTTGTACATATGTACAAGATTGTATTGAACTATAATTGAAGAAGTTTGTGTTCCTTCAGCTGGCTGCTTTTCCTGTGGTAAAAATTCTGAGGGCCTAAATTTAGACTGACTTGCCATGCTTTTAAATTTTGAATTAATAGCTAGAGCGGTATCCTGGCACACATATTTTCCATCTTTTCATCATGCACCCCTACCTAATTAACCCCAAAATTCTGAAGTCAATTCTTCAGTTTCTCTCTGCAACTGGTGAACCCCCTCCCCATTTTTCAATGAAAACCCAAACAAAACCAAAAATAGATTTCTACCCAACATGCACCCTCTAGCTGAGACACTGCCGCAGTCCAGCCCCACCCAAATTATCAGCATAATTATAACTTGACCTGGCCACGGACTCACTGTAAATAACTGAGTTTGGTTTGCCAGGCTAGGTTTGTCATTTAAGCCAGCATCCCAGAGGAGCACTAGGTACATTATACAGTGTACATGTATGTGTCTCCAATTACTGGCTCATCAGGTTAGGTCATATATCATTGGTTCATTTGCTGGTCACTCTAGACATAGATCTACATGTATTTAGTCCATTGCATTTATCTTTACAATTGAAAACTGTGACTTTTTTCAGTAGGAATATTTTATTGGGGGGGGGAATACCTCTTTCGAACAAGTATCTCTTTCTATGAGAAGCAGAGTTGTCTTGTTGTCATAAAAAAGAACCCAAATTAAGTTTGAAATGTTTCCTTACTACCAGAATAATATTTACAAATTGAATGATTGTGATACTAGTAATTCATGAGATGATAAAATTACTGTATTTCTGAAGGAGAGAGTGCTTCAGATTTACATTGCAAGGAGAAGGCTATTTGAACATTCCACTTGTTGTTGCCACATCCATCTTTTAGAGTAGGCGACAGTACTGTTCCTTATCTGTCAACACACATTGAGCCCTCTACCATGTTTTCAGACATAGGCCCATTACACAGCAAAAGAATAAAGTTTACCTGAGAAGAAATGTCAGCCCTCTGTGATTAAGCCTTCACTGCATGTGCTTATTTAGAATATGTAACCGTATTCTCATGTAATAATGAACTGTACTAACAGAGACATTCCAAAGCTAAAATCCTATCCAGAGAGTCTAATCATCTCCTTTTTTTGCTAAATATATTGGCTAAGCTTGTAATTAGTTGTAGAGCTATGGCTATTAATTAAAATCTGTGCATCAGAGACTTTTAAAGAATATCTCTGAAGCTGGCAATCATGCAAGTATTTATGTGTATCTGTAAGAATTCATTTTGGGCAATTTCATCACAACTGTCACCTACGCAGATTTTATTGCAAAATAAAAAGGAACTGTTTAATTGATGTAAGTCTTGGCAAAATCACATCATTTTGTTCAAGAAAACTGTTAACAATTTAATAGCTTCAAATTGAAATGCCAGTGAAAAACAAAAGAAAACACAATTATAAAGAATGTGAACAAAAAGATGGGCGAGCTGAAGCATTAAGAACCAGAATTATTCAAAAAGTAATCTAATTAAATTCAAAATCAAAATTAGCATAAAACCAATTGCTTGAGTCTGATAACCGTACCCTAAGGGGCCCCTTATACATTTATTCTCCTAATGATATTCATATAGACAAGCGAGAAATGTAAGAGGCATACTCCAGGGCACAATTCACAGTGATGGATACCTTGCTATAACAATCTGTGTTGAGTGTTGATGTAGCTAACCCCGGCCGGCAAAGTGTCTGCCTACGCAGCCCAAACATTCATGCAGACATTAGTGAATGAAGGAGAAATATCCAACAGAATTTAAATTTGATAACAGCAGACTTACATGTATACTCGTTTTGTAGCCTAGGGGGGGGGGAATTTGTTGTAAAATGGGAAGCAGTCTGTCTCAAAGTGTGCTGTTGAAATGGGGAATCTTGACCAAGAATTTATCGGTAAAGGGGCACAGTGTACATTTTGAATCGTTACCGTGTGCCCTGAGCATGAGCTGTAGAAGGTAGTGGGCCTGTTTATTTCATGCTGATCCCTATCGCGATCCGTGATCCGACATTGGTTCACTGACACCAGAACCCACCCAATGCATACCGCGAACCAATTTGGGGATCACTGATTGAGATCCAGATCCACATGAAACAAACAGGCCCAGGATGTGACTTAGTTTGGAGAGTGTGTGGTGAGGCAAGGGCAGGTTGATATACATGTAGTATACACGGTACATGATCAATAAACTAAGATACATAGGCTTGTTCTAAGTTTTTACTTGTGATGTCGTCTACACAACCAATTCCTGACAGTGTGGTCAGTATCTACATGTAGTACATCACAATTCTTCCTTTCTTTTGTTGCATTGTTTTGAGAAAAGGATGAATTCTTTTACTTGATTTAGTACGTGTACAAGGAATTTCCCTCTTGAAATTAAATTGTATGGTCTTTTTAAATTTTAGGGTTTAGGCTCAATTTTTTAGCTACATCTATAGGGTGTTTGCAGAAATCTAATGTTAAATTGTCACCCTTGTTTTGTTTATAAAGAATGTTTCTTGTCCAGTGTCACATCCTGTCATCGGTCTTGAAGCTTTTGGGGAAATCAAGTGGTTGGAAATTGTATGTTTTTTCCCAAACTCTATTGGCATTCCAAAGAGACCATTAACTTGCCAACAAGATTTCCTGACATTTCCCACTCGTGAAACATGCACTTCATCCTTAACATATCCATAAATCACGCTTTGTGGAACTCACCCTCAGTTTATGCACAAACCTTTTCTATAGTTCAAGGCACACTTTCCTGTCACAGAAAGCCTTTTTTTTAACACTTTTACAACATACAGAATACAACCATTGACACATTCAGCCATAAACACATTTATGAGTTCTCCAGTTTCTTTGTAAAATTACTATTTTGTCTGTTTGCTAGGAGAAGCAAATTAAGGTCCATTCCTGTGTAAATGTAATTGGTGATTCCATTGTCGTAAACTTGTCACAGTTTTCCCTGGATAAGTGTCTGGTTTAAATCTGATTCTAATTTTGCAAGATTGTAAGTGCAAAATGATAACAGGAACAAGTACTTTGGGTGGTTAACATAATGTCTCAAACTAATTGCATATTCATAGTGAAATTTCCAGTCAGGCATTCAGTCCTGCACTAGTTGCCCAATCTCTCAATTCATTTATAAATCATTTATTTATAAATCAACCACTCATCTCTGTTGAGTAATCTGTGAGTGAAAGCAACAAACATTAACCAAAGTCAGAAAGTATCAATTTCTTGTTAAGTTCATGATACCAGAAGCCTGCTCATGATTGTGACCTGAACACTTGCCTGATTTGAAAATGGTAATCAGTCCTCATTCTGTCTACCAAACTTTTCAAGTTCCAAACAACTGTACAGTTTACCTGGCACTTGTAGATAGATACAGTGTAAATGCTTCTTTAACTCAAACTGATTTGTGTTGTCTACCTAGGACAGTCTGCTACAGATTCAAATCGGTCTAACCTGATAAAAGCACCATGGCCCAATTTTATGGCACTGGTAATCATTAGCCCACAAATGTTCTATGAGTGGAGCCCTCTTTGGCAAATTTCATAGAGATCACAAACAGTATAAGTATAACTTTTCAGAGTGCAGTTGCACATGTCTTGGGAGGCCGATGTTCATCTACATCATGTAGAATGGTGAAAGGGCATGCATGTCTGGGCCAGTCTGGGCCATATGCAGCTGTCTTCTTTTGCAGTTAACTGTCTACCACTCAGCATTTTGATGGCCATAGGGCAAAGCTAATTAAAATATTCAACATGTCTGTCATCAATCTAACAAAACGTTTAGCATTTTTAAACCCTCATGTGCAAACTGCTTGCACTTTTCATGAGATAAACTTGACTTTTTTGGCAAACTTCAGTAAGAAAGAGGAGAGAAATGAATTGGAATAAACTGAGTGGGCCCAACTAGAATATTCATCTATGGTGGCGCAGTTTGAATTGATCAGCTGTCTGAACATGATGAGGCTGGCACTCCAGCAACCATATTGTCACAAGTACATTTTTGCTACTCAAAGCAAGAAAAGGAGAT